AACCAAGTGTCCAGGTGGTTTAGTTTCATTTGAATACACACTGTAAAGAGAGTGTGAAACAGGGCTCAAAACAGCCTAGAGAGTTAGGTACTTTTTTCTCCAGAAATGTGAGGAATGTACGTATTTATATCCTTCATGCACTAGACCCGAATTCGTATAGGAAGTGTCAAGGTTCCATCTCAACCTCCTTCGGCCCCTTGCTAACATTTCACAGAGAATTAAGAGCCCTGGCCGTCAGCTCCTTGAGATAAGCCTTAGAACTTTAGCAGAAGCCAGCAGCACAGGTTCTGGCCTCTCCATTCTGTGCTGATACCTTGCAGGTAGTAGCTTCCCCAGGTCGGGACTCTTAGACTTAACTGAGCGTCGCCATCTACAAAGGGCTTAGTCTGAGAAAGTGCTGAATTGCTGTTGACTTGAAACTTGGATGGAAAGGAGGTAATGTATGTCTGTAGGGGGCTTCTGTTACTGCTAGTTACAGTTAATCCATACTGTCTCACTTTGTCTACACAGCAGCCCTATCACAAAGTGAGTAAAGATGGTCCACCAGCAAGTGACATAAATGGGACTTGAACCAAGGTTTATCTGATTCTATGTTAATTTGAATTAGATCAGCTTCATTTGCCACAGTGTCTCAGGGTAGAGTGTTTTATCCAAAAAAGTTTGATTCTTGTTATTCTGTGATAAGGTCTGGGATTAGGCATTCCGCAGATTGTAGGTAGAAACAGAGTTGTTAGGAACTCGGGCCCCTTTTGGCTCCCTAGAGTGTGGACCTGATCTTCATCATGCAATATGACTGCCAGAGCTCCATCCATCATGTGAGGTACTATACAACAAGGATGATGGAGGACAAGAGAAAGGGTATGGTCGCTCTCAAAGATTTTCCCATACTTCTCACACCATTTCTACATTCAACTGGCCAGAACTTAGTCACCTGTCTATACCCAGCTCCAATTGCATGGAAGGCTGGGAACTGGGATATTATAGCTGAGCAGCAATATAACCAGCTTAAAGTCAGGATCTTAACTTTTGAGAATGAAGAGAAGTCTGGTGTTGAGGACACTAGCACAGACCCAAACATTATACATTTTCTGTCTCTTTGATTCATGAAAAGTCTTTTAATCATATATTATGGTTCTTATGGCTGAAGCTCTGTCCCAAATTAGAGGCCATTTCAGAATCCAAAAGGCATCCCCAAACGGGCATAAATGTGTGGTCCTATTTACAGCCATTGAACAATTGGTTGTTTTGGTAAATTTATTTTTCCAGGATTAAACCCACTGTCAGTTATTCTTCTTTAAGAGTTAGAGTCTCACTATGTTGCCTAGGCTGGTCTGGAACCCCTGGGCTCAGGTGATCCTCCTGCCTTGGCCTCCCTGGTAGCTTAGGCACACACCACTGCATCCACCTCATCAATTATTTAAGAAACCGCCCCAAAGGACCTTTCTACTTCTCTCAGGTTCCTTGTAAGGTAACTCACAAACTCTCCAGCTTTTGAAGACGTGGAGATACCACCAGCTCTGCCAGAATAAGGGGGATATAACCCCCAAATAAGGGAGGCCAGACCTGCTTTTGTGTACTGAGTTAGTGATAAGGAAAGCTGCTGAACTCCAATCCACAGGGATTCAGTGCCCAGCACTCAGTCTCCTGCTGGGTCCTCAGCAGCTGAGGACCCAGCACTCAGTCTCCTGCTGGGTCTTTAGCAGCTGAGGGAGCAGCTGGCAGCAAGGGTGCTGATGGCTGGTTGGCAGCTCCTCCCCCACTGTGCCTCCGCTCCGCTCCATAGTTGTGGCCTCTGCTGAGTATCTGACAGTTAACAGTAAGGAACTCATTTTGTCCTAGCCAATTTTTTAAAGTGTTACCTTCTATCATAAGGGCTTGTGAACAGAAAGAGAAAAAAAAAAAAAAGAGCTAAGAAGGAAAGTCACCCTTTGCAATTTTTATGGTGCAGCCTACATAAAATAGTTACTTAACTCTTGTTTTGCTTTTTTAATAGAAAATGTTTTTCTTAAAAATTTCATTAAACAAAATTTACCCACCTAAAAGTCTAAAACCACTCAGAGCCTACCTCTAAGATGTTAGAATGCCTTTTCCTATTTTTTTTTTTGTGTTACATTTTTACTTCTTCTATAATTGAAGAAAAAATTTTAAGTAAGGCTTTTGTTCATGTAAAAAACTGAAAATTACTGTCACATATGACACTGTATAGTGATCAAAGGGTGCCGTGGTCTTGGTTGTGGGGGTAAGCTCTCCGTGGGCAGAGGGGTCCACAGTGGGATGCTGTCATGGGGGAGAGCACTGGGCCAGGAGCTGAGAATGCCATCTGGCTGACCAGATCACCAAGAAGACACCCACTCTGGGCACTCTAGGCAAGTGTCCTAACTTCTCTGATGGAACATGCCTTCCCATAAAAGACGAGTTTTCTTAGCCTTCTTCAATTATAGATTCCTTAGGAATCTCAAGCCAGGCACCATGTTGCACACCTGTAATCCCAGCAGATGTGTGAGTGAGCTGGTCCGTGAGTTCTAGACTCTTACCTGCACTTGTGGAAACAGGGGACACTGAGTACCAAGGGCCTTGTCCTCATGCAGTTGTTTGGGATCATGACATATGAGACAGTACAGAACTTTGGGGTTACACAACTGATGTTTAGCTCAGATGTTTCTTAATTTGGAGCTAGCCTCCAGGGTGTATCATCAACATAATTGGGCAAAAGAAAACCCACGTATGTAACTGAAATTCCTACTCTTCTTTATGAGAAGGATCCTTTGCATTCATGATGTTTTTCCTGCCTCCTCCTGATACTGAAGGTTGAGCCCCCAGCTCTTTTTTATGATTTTGAGATAGAGTCTCCCTAAGTTGCAGAGTCTAGCCTTGAGCTTTCAAACCTCCTGCCTCAGCCTCCCAAGCTGCTGGCATTATAGGTGTGTGCCATTTTGCCTGGCTTGAGATTCTTAAGGAATCTGTAATCTGAAGAAGGTTAAGAATAACTGGTCTATTTTTATGGGAAGGCATGATCCATCAGAGAAGTGTGGAGACACCTCCATGGCAGTGTCCCACCGTGGACCCCTCTGCTGTAGCTGTGATGGAAATGACTATTCTGTGTGCCTCCCCATGTGAGCCAGCTCAAGCCATCCACGGAGCAGCCCACCGCTTTCTGCATCAGCTTGCCCCAATCCTCCCCCCTCCCCTTCATGCAGCCCTTTCCCCCAGAAGTAAGAGGAGATGGGGGGCAGGAAGCATGAGTGGGCCCCAAAGTCGGGATCCTTGTTCCCTGGCCTGAGTTTCTTACAGAACATTTCAGCTCTCAGTATTTGATCCTTCTCACCAAAGGGAGGTAGGGAATCTTCTTCCCATGCTTAATATAGTCATAACGAGTTCCAGTGTCCAGTGCTGAAGGAGAATCCTCAGAGGACCGTTCAGAGGCTGACAGGACAGCCCAGCTATGGAAAGGAGTGAATTTCTGTCCCTCTTGGTGGGGGACTTGATGCAGAACAGTCTTGGAAAGATTGCGCAATGAGAACGCTGAGGTGTTTGTGTAAAGAAATCATCACACAAAACCTTATGTCTGAAAACCAAAGTGACCTTTTCTGAGCCGCCCTAGCCCTACATGAGAAGCAAATACTGCCGGATCGCCTGACATTTCCTTTTTTAAATTTCAAGCATTCCTGATTTCACATCAGCGATTGATCTGTTGGTTTGCAGCCCTGATGCAATTAAGTGAATTCATATTCACTGCTGTTGGAATTTAACAAAACAGCAGCTATGAAACCTGACCCCCACCCCCAACCCCTCCACCAAAGTGACCCCGTGGAAGGGCAGGTTGCACAAAGAGTATTTTTCTAGACCTGAAATGAAAATAATCTCCTGAGTTGGATTGTGTACCACTGCACTGTGTCCATCTTTAAAGATCACATTTATTTGCTCATTCCTTATTTTAAGTCTTTCTTGGCAGAAGCCTTTAAAGAGGGAGGGAGCGTTCATTCTGATTGCACCGCTTACCAAAATAATACGGCATTCAGGAGGGAATTACTCTGTGTGCTCCCTGGATGAGGCAGCAAAGGCAGGTGAAATCCCTGTCTGCGAGGGTAGAGGTTTCCAGGTGTTGCTCTGGGTTCACTGAGCTGAGCCGGTTTTATAAGCAGTACTGTCCCTATGCCAGAAAGTCACCAAAGCCCCATGTGGGGCAGGACTGTGTGCAGCTGAAGCACAGTCTTCAGAATGTGAAGTTGATCAGGTTGAGATGGGAGTGCGTGGTGCCCTTTGCTAATCTGTCCGAGAACATTCTTCCTGGCTCCAGTTAATCTGAGAGAGTTGGCTGGGGAAGGATAGCTGCATGGGTTCTGAGTTTGTCTTTCACAGCATAATGGATCAGAAGTCTGGTTCTGCTCTTTGACGAGGTTTGGCTAACACATAAGAAGTGTCTATCTAGCTGATCCAGGCTGACCAGGGGGCAAGGAGGAAGAAGAAACTGGGAAGAAAATAAGTGGACCAACTCTTAAGAGGAGACTCCAAGAAAAGGGAGCTCTTCCTTTTTTTCCTTAATTAGCCCCTGACTCTTGTATTTGGAGCAGTTTGGGGGACTGAATTGAAAAAAAAAAAATTGATTTGCCCAATTCAACTATCACACTTTCCAAAAGTAAAGTTGATTTGGTTTCGCCTTTTCCTTGCATTCATGCCAGTTCTTAATATTATCCTATCAGGAAAAAGTCCTTGGAATATAGAGCCTTGCTCTCTAGTCTGATTTTACCATCCAAAATTAGGTCCTACTGTCCATACATGATTTTTCCCTGGCACCTCTAGGTTGGCCATATAACCCAGCTTGCCTGTGACATCTGATTTATGTCCACTGTCCCATGAGATTAATACACATTTGTTCTCAAAAGTGTCCACTTTTGGATGATGCATTTTTTTACTTGGTTACACTAATTACAGGGAATGAAGGGAAGGAAATGAGTTTCTGCGGCAAAGACTGACCCCGTTCTTTCTTTCTGTCACCACAGCTCCATTTGGCAGCCCTGGCATCACTCAAGGGAGATATAGTGGAGCTTAATAAACGTCTGCAGCAAACGGAGCGCGAACGGGATCTTCTAGAAAAGAAATTGGCCAAGGCACAGGTAAGGGATCTGGAACGTGGTGGTTGTTGTGCGTGTTAACTTCTTTGTTTAAAAATAAAACATGTACAGAAATTTCCACAAAACCAAATTTGACTTAATCAAATATTCTGACTGTTTGGGTTGCAATAACAGACACCATGGACGGAATGGCTTAAATAACAAGCATGTATTTCCCACAGTTCTGGAGACCAGGAAGTCGGGGTGCCTGCCAGTTTGGTTCTTGGTTTCTCTTCTTGGTTTGCAGACTCACATTCTTCACTGGGTCATGTGGAGGGGCAGTCTCTCCTGTGTCCTCTTCAGATGGCCATTAATCCCAGTCATGGGGGCTCCACCCTCACCTAACAAATGCCCCACCTCCTAACACCATCATATTGAAGGATCAGACTTCACCATATGAATTTGGAAGTGGGCACACTAACATTCCTTAACATGCACTCTACTGCCTAAATCAAGAAACAGAATTTTCCTGTTACCCTAAGAGCCTCCTGTGTCCCATCTCAATCTCCACACTTTTCTTCCCACAAAGGAAACCACCAGGATGACATTCAGAATAACGTTTCTTGCTTCTTTACAGTTTTACTTAAGTTAGCATCCTTAGACCTGTAAATTTGCATCCCTATTCTAATCTTGCCCATTTAAAAAAAAAATAGATGTTTCCTTTAAATCTTTTCCTCTATGGGTGTTTCCTCCATTCTTTATTTGCTTTTTCATTTATTTGTTAAGCCTGGCTGTTAATACCTGTAGATTTTCCTACAGTCCAGATGTTGCTGGCTGCACACTCCTGGTGCAGTTCAGCATGTTCCTCTGTATTTCCTGATAATTGACAGCTGAATCCTGAGGCATGATCAGATTCATGTCCAATTCCTCTGGCAAAACTGTAGAAAGTATGTTCTTCACGAACAGGCACATAATGCCTGGTTGTTATCGTTCTGTGATGTCAGCAGCTGTTGCTACTTAATGCCTAGGTTCATTACTTCATTAGGACTTAACAGAATCATGATACTTAAGCTTTACCATTTCTCTGTTTTTAATGAGAATACTTTTATACAGAAATTTCCTGTCTTTTATTTGTTGAAACATAGTCTAGTTCCTAGAAGAAAAACAAAATGAAAGCATGAATGTTCCTATTTAATAAGATAATGGATCGATTCCCTGCGATCCTATGAATGTGCCCATTTATTATTATGAATTTATGGATTTAGATATATTTCAATTTTAATCCATTATAATTATTTTCTTTGTAAAATGGCTCAAACTATATTATCTTTAGAGCTAGTAAGAGTCTCTTTAAGCTGGTTCCTGAGTCGTATAGCATAAACTAGTTATTTCAGGCTCCTAGACTACATTTCTTGCCCTGAACCTAGAATTAATTATTCTCCAAGTAACCATAACTTTTCTCAGCAGGAAATGATATTTCAAGACCATTGTCTGGGTATCTAAGGATACTTATTTCTTGTAGGTTCTTCATTATATTTGGACATCTTTAATAGATGAGGCAGAAAATTATTTATTAATTTATGTACATATGTACCTGCAGAATTTAAGATATACATAAAATTTGAGATAAAATGCCTTAGGAATTCATGCTAATATTTCCAATGGGTATCTTTATTCAATTTCTTTTATTTCTTTTTTTGTACTAGGGATTGAACCTAGGGGCATTACCACTGAACCATATCCCTAGCCCTTTTTATTTTTTTATTTTGAGACAGGGTCTGACTAAGTTGCGGAGACTGGCCTTGAACTTGTAATCTTCCTGTCTCAGCCTCGGGAGTTGCTGGGATTATAGGCATGTGCCACTATGCCTGGCTCAATTTCTGTATTTTATTTTTATCTCTTTTCTTTCACACTAAAAGTCCTGGCTCTTAAAGTTACAAGGGATAGTAGAATTATGATATTTCATAATCACTCATTTGCTATATCCACGTTCAGTATAGTCTCAGGGTAATAATGTCAATACCACCATAACCACTGTAGTTACTGAGATGAGTTTAAATATTTTGTCGTCATTCTCCTCATTCTCAATTCCTTTGCAGTTGAACTGTAGCCACGCTATCTGACCATATGGCCACCACATTTTGTATTTCTTTCCCTTTTAGTTCTCCTTAGTCTTCTACAAGTAACCATGTTTAATGTTCACCAGGATTCTTATAATGGCAGTGTTTTCTCCATTTTTAATAGATTAATGAATTTATTTTGCCTGAAGCTTATTTTCTAATAGATTCTTCCAAGTGGACCTGTGGGGATAATTTCCCCAGAATTCTTGCATGTTAATAAGAATGTATCTGTTTCTCTTCATACTTGAAAGGTACTTTGGGCTGGGGTGTATTTCAGGGTAGAGTGCTTCCCTATTATGCAGGGTGCCCTGGGTTCATCCTAGCACCATGTCAGAGAAAAAGAAAGACACTGCTGGAGGCTAAATGCTTGGCTCATCCTTTCTTTCTATGAATATGTTGGTTTATTTTCTTCTGGCAGAGAGTGCTGCTGTCAAAGCATGATGAGAATCTAACTTTCTTTGCCTTTTAAGTTACTTGCTTACTGTGGCTATCCAAGGGATCTCTCCCTTCTTACATTTCTTTCTTCCTTCCTTTGAGTGCATCAATAATTCTGGCTTGATATTTTCAGGTTTGCTATGTATTCTTCTGATTATATTTAAAAAAAATTTTTTTAAGTTGTTGTTAGAACACTATTTATATGTGGTGTTGAGAATTGAACCCAGTACCTCAATACATGCTAGGCAAGTGCTCCACCGCTGAGCTCCAACCCCAGCCCCCTGATTATATTTTTTAGTCATCTTTTCTATTTCAGGGACGTTTTTAAAAAATTGTATTGCTGGGCTGGCCTGTAGCTCAGTGGTAGAATGTTTTCCTAGCATGTGTAAGGCCCTGGGAAAAGTTTTATTCTCTTCTTTTGATTTTTAAGATCTCCTATTATTCATATGTTAGATCGCATTCATCTTTAACATATGGCATGATCTCAAATCCTTTATATCTCTTCCTTTTTTGAATTTCATTTTTGCCCTGCTCTTCATTTCTTGTTTCTCTTGAGGCGTTCTGTTTTCTGTTCCTCTTTGGTTTCTTCTAGTTTAGTTCTCACTTTTGACATGTATTTTTATCTTATTTCTGATTCTTTTCTGTGTTCTGGTACCTAAGTCCTGAATTTTTCAAATTCCAAATTCTGTTCTTTCCTTAAAGTCGTAGTTCACTTTAAAATAGCAGGTGAGGGCTGGGGATGTGACTCAGTGGGAGAGCACTTGGCTGGCCTGCCTGAAGCCCTAGGTTCCATCCCCAGCACTGCAAAAAGAAAAAGAAAGTAGCCCATTGTTTGAGAGGCTTTTCCTTTATTCCATGTCGTGACATAATTTCATGGTTAGTAGGGATGTTATTCTGTTTTCTTTTTAGTTTTCTTATTAACTAAAGAATAAGAAAACTAAAAAGAACACAGTTTTCTGTTTAAGTTTTGACTGTACAAGTTTTGACTTCTTTGTTTTTAATTTTTATGTGAAAAATAGTTCCCTTAGACTTTCAGGAGGCCGAGTGAAGAGGGGTCTCCGAGGCCATGGGCTTTCCTCTGGTGAGAACTGGGGCAGCTGCCTGGCTCTTTCCTTTCACCTACTGTCATCAGGATCTTTTCTCTCCTGTGTTCCTGTGATCTGCATCCTGCTCTGTTTGGTTTTACTCCCACCATTTCCTGGCAGGGAGCTCTGGGACTGGTCTTGAGAGCTCAATGGAATGGGACTCTTCAGATCTTTGGGGGGGCCCCTTGCACCTACACTCTCTTGGGAGGAGTAACTCGTCCTAGTTTCAGCTGCTGCTCTCGGGTTGGCCTCCTCGCTTTCCTGTGAGTGCCGATGGGTTTATTTGGGGTTTTCCACTCTCACATCCACCAGCCTCTTTGCTTCCTCTGATTCTGCCCACAGATGCCACTCAGATCTACGAATGGTGTTGGTCCTTACCTGCTTGGAAGTTTTGGTTCCAGGAGACACCCTGGAACTCCTTACAACTGATATACATCCCTAGTCCTATTTAAGTTTTTTTAGTTATGAAACGGGGTCTCACTAAGTTGCTAGGGCCTCCTCACTAAGTTGCTGAAACTGGCCTTAAATGTGTCAATCCTCCTGTCTCAGCCTCACAAGTTGCTGGGATTTCAGGTATGTGTTACCATGCCCAGTCAGACTTGGATCTTAAAGGGTAACCAGGAAAGTATTAGGTATTAGGATGTAAGCCTGTGAGGAGAAAGCCACTTAAGCAGCGGATGGTGAGAGGATAATAGAAAACTTGGCTCTGCCCAAGATTGACTCAGCTCCCTTTCGACTTACTTATGATTAAGCCATACTTGCATAATAGCTCTTGGTGACTGGTTTTACCCCTTATGAAAACGGTCACATCATAGTGCCACCGACTCCCATTTACATTCCTGCATTGACTAGACTTAAAGATTACTCTCTGCTTTTTTCACTGGAGATATCTTCCCAGTTCTAAAACTCGGAAAAGAGGACATGTGAAAATGTCAGGCTTGCCATCTCCTGCTTCTTATAAAGATGAATTTATTCCAGAACAACATAAATACAGGGAAATGATGGTTCTTTGCTTTCTGTGTCATATATCTTGCTTGGTAAGTGATTCATGTTTGAGGCTTTACCAGATTGTAGAAGAGCAAATTCATGTGAAAATTTATGTTCTGTGGGTATACTAAGTCTTACCAGCTCTCCAAATATTATAGTGCTCTGATTAAAATGTAAATGGTGGTTATGTTCATCAGACATTATCAAGAGAGCTTCAACATCTGTTGAATAGTTATTAATGGTGACTGGAGCTGGTTGAATAAAAGAAGGTTCATTATGTATGGTCACGGGATCAATCTGTAAGTGGATTTTTGAGAATACTGAGTGATAGGAAAGGAAGTGCTGAGTAAAGGAATCCAGTATCAGTAGGATGAGGAAGACAAAAATACCTCTGCATTGATTTTTCTGTTGTGTAACAAATTCACAAATGCAAACT